GTTCCTGGGTACCTACCAAGTAGTCAGAGTTTTCCCTTGATAGTTTATGTCTAAGAGTTAAAGAAAATACCGTTTTCTTTAATGCATTTTATTTTGTAACAATGATATTTACATTTTGAGATCTCAACATTTTGCAGATAACCTAAGCAATGTTTAAATAAACTAACAATAGTTTTCTATAGGTATATTTTAAGTTTTAGATATAAATTTATGAAAAATAATAATTCCAACTCTGGAACAAAAATTGTGTTGCACAATGCAATAATTTTTTTTTAATTTTCAGGTGCTTTAAATAATGTTTATAACTTTCAAGACGAACCAAGACCAGAACTATTGTCATTAAATACAAATGCTAAATTATGTATGTATCTAATAGTATTAAATAATTGACTTCGGTATTATTTTATGTTATTTTATAACAATTTATAAAAGTACCTATCTACGTTTGTAAACTACTTGAAAAAGGTAGATAACTACTGTAAACTACTTGAAAAAGTACAATTTGTGAATATAAATGCAAGTATTATTTATATTTATTGTTATTAATATTTTTGCAGTAGATCAGATCGAAAAAGAACAAAATAACAATGAAGCAGCTTACATGAGTACTAATGACGTGGTACGAATTATGTTTGAACAAAGTACAACTATACTTGCTTATGTCAAAAGAATCAATAAAAAGTTGGAAACTGTAGGATACTATGCCGAACCTATGAATGGAAATGTTGATTTCCTGAATTTGTTCCCAATGAAAACGGTCTAAGCACACCAAAGTATTGAGTCAAAACTTGAGGATGAAACATTTGAAAAACAAACGGTTAGTAACATTTTTAAGAAAAATGGTATATAATATAGTTGGTTGTTAGGTAACTTAAATTAAATATTATATTTTTAGATCAATTTTTCTCAGATTGGAGGTCTCAATGTGCACAATTTTATTAAAAGAGTGTGACGCGGCCCGCGTTGGTAGCAAGTACAATGTACTGTATTAACAAGCACTCATGACAAAATAAATAGGTATGTCAGCAACTCGTGAAACGCATGTCTGTGACGTAAGCATTTCTCTAACAGGTTGAGCGGTGGAGTGGTGGTGGAGTCTTCGGCGGCGGCGGCTATTGCGGCAGTGACGGCGGTGGACCAATGAGAACCGGAGAAATGCTTACGTCACAGTAAAGGGCTGGGTGGAGGGTGGGTGCTCGATTTGTTTCAAAATCCGTAATATTGCTGACATACCTGTATAATTTGTCATGCAAGCACTATAGCGACCAGTCTATCTTATCTACAACCACCACCACGGAATGCAAGCAGCGAGATCGGGTTGGCTCTCCCACCGAGCCGATAATGGCGAGGCGGGTCGGGGGGACTCTGTCGCGTAAGACGTACCACGATTAAAGATAGTATGGTTGCGTGACGACGACCAAAAATGCGGCTTTAGAAGTGCTCAAGTCTAAACTGACTGTCTAATGCTGCTATCTAGTGGTTATATGTAGAAAATACGAGTTTTTACATATAACCACTAGACACGTAATTACTAATTCATTGTCTCTTACTGTCATACGTCGATATTAGCTTTTTTAATTTTTTTGATATTAACATTGGAAAAAATAAATTAAAAAGTCAACACATTTTACAGTTACATATTATTCTTTATTCTTTAGTACGAAGAAACTAATTTTGACAGTTTTTTTGATGTGAAAACATCTTATGTAGTTATGTGGCGTTCAGACTTTTCCGTTTGGGCAGTGAATTTTTTCGAGCGTTATTCGAGCTAATGCGACGCGACGCAACGATAGGCCGCCTGTGCTCAGGGGGCGTGGCTTCATTATGATCACGGACATCGAACATAGTGCGGGCGAGAGCGTCAAATTAGTTAATCGTTGACAACTAACGTGAACAGTTAACTAAAAATGTATTGTATACATACAATATTACTATTTGATCACATGCGCAGGCGCGCAACTACAAACGCGTCGTACTCGTACATCGTCCGTTGTCGCGCGTTGGTAGTTCTCGAGGGCGTTTTTCGTTGATAAACACTATAAACAATAAACATGGTCCAGGGCTTGAAACGGTTATCAAAATTATCGGTTAACGCTAGGAAATTCTAAAACGTCGGTAAACGTTGAAACTTTGATAACAGAGAATTTCGAAATGTTTGTTTGCTAAGCAATAAAGTAAACATTTCAAACGCCATGATCCAGCGTTTTGTCTGTTCAGTAGTTCAGTTCCAACAACCAATACCTACCGTGGTTGAATTTGCTTAAACTTTTTTAATCAAAAGTACCTACCTATATTTATTGATGTGAAAATCGTTTTGCATGACAGTGTACATTTTCGAGCGTTACCTTTTTCGTAGGTACCGAGCAAATTTTCTATGGAGTTAATATTTTCGGACTTGTAATTTTTTTTTTTTTTAATTTTTCGAAAAACACCGAAAATTCTTTTGCCACTAACAGACTAATTATGACGTCAGACTGGGCGTCAACATTGGGGGTAGGTCGAAATTGGAATTCATACCGAGCGAATTTTCTATGGAGGTGATATTTTCAGACTTGTGATTTATTTCCAAATTTTTCCTTCAAATTCTAAGCTCATATAATATATGTTTTTACATTTTACGAGGGTCGCTTGAGACACACGCGTGTTTTATATTATAATGATATATATTCTGCAAAATTACTTACAACGTTCCTTCTAAAATGTTTGTGTAACAACTTTGTCTCAAATTCATCTAATTGATCTTCATTTCCAATCGGTATTAATGAATCATATTCAAACAATTCTTCAGAAGTATTTTCATTATCTTTTGCTTGCACAGTTTCAGTCAATGTTCTGTCCATATGAAGTTGATTTTGTGCAATTGTCTCTACATCATATTTTATTTTTAACACAACTCTTAAAATTGTATTCATTACATCTGAAACAAACATGATATATTATGCTCTTTAAATATAATATTAATCACAGAAAAATACAATAACATAATATAAGACAAAAAGTAACTCTTTAATTAACTTAGTTAAAAGTAACTTAACTTTAACCTATTAACTCGTTAATGCCCAGCCATGCTTTTTGGATTACAAATAAAATTTTATTGGTCTTTATAGAAAAAAAAACTAAAAAATTTTGTTCGCGATCATAAGGTCACTGGGTTTGTCGTCGTCCACTCCACGACCGCTGTGACGGTCGTTCCCGAAAAGGTTTTCGGGTTCTGTTTGCTTATTTTCTCTTCTCCCACACCCTGGCCCCATAACCACCACTCACCCGAGACGAAAGTAAAACATAATATTATAATTTATAATATAGGTACCTACAAATTATATTCTAATATATTAATATATGTACTATGTATAATATATATATAATATTATATCGTATTATATTGGTATGTATAATGATGTTTTCGTTTTTGTTTAACCTTTTTTTTTTCTTCCATGTGCTGTCAAACAGGAGCTGCAGGGATGTCAGGTGTGCGGGAGAGTTGGGGCCGTTGGAAGACACTATGGTGCTAAAACGTGCGACCCTTGCAAAAACTTTTTTTTTAGAATCCCTAAACGGCCAAACGCCTTTGAACATTGCAAAGATAGCCAAACGTGTGAAAACTTGAATAATTGTAAAGAGTGCCGGCTGAAAAAATGTTTAAAAGCCGGCATGTGGCATGACGGTAAGTGTTACACTATAATAGCCGTATATTTATAATAAAATTGAACACTGATAAATCACAGAAAAATAAAATGTGTCGGATTTTTCCGGACTGCTAGAGTATAACGTAATACACACGCGGGGCCTATAATATATAGGAACACTGCTAGTATTAAATGTATGTACATTAATAATGAATAATAGTTTGGTCCCCGGATTTCAGAAGAAACCTGCAATTTTACGAGCGAAGGGCCATATTATTATGGCACATTTAGGGGAACAATTCTAGTTTAGCGCCCACTCGAATTTTTCGATTTTTTTTTCGGAAACCTATGTATTTCGACAAGTTTAAAACGATGGTGTGAAAATTAGTTTGCGGAAATGATTATTTTGGAAGTTACAACCTTCCAAAGTTTGCGATTTTACGTTTATACGCGCATGCGCGCAACACTACTATAGTGCCCCGCGGAGGACGTCGATATTTTTATAATACAAGTTAGGAGTCTGTATGCATAGTTAATTTGTGTTTTCACTCCTTGACCTGTTTACATAAGTATATAGTGCCTCCCTTCGCCTATCCGCTCCGGTCGCCAGTTAGAGTAACATATAAGTCTATTGAAGCTCCCTACGCCTGCCGGCTCCGTTCGCCTTACTCGAGGTCCTGCGGACCTCTCGCTGGATGGGGGCTCGGCCCCCAAACCCTCCGGGACTTAAATAGCAAACCTGGGGGGTGGGGTGGGGAGGGGTGGCGACCCCTTCGGAGTCGTGGGGGGGAGAGCATACCTGCCCTTCGGGCAGACGGATGACCTAACAAGTAATTTTTGTTTTATTTAGTTTTTTCATTTCCTGGTTTTTAGCATATGCGTATTGCCTCATACGCATTGTTATATAATGTACATAAATATCAGTCATAACTTTACTCTTGTGTTCCTGCTTGTGTTCCCGAGCTGTAACTCGATCTGTATGTTTATCTGTTGTGAGTCTGTTTTGAGTTTTTTTTGCGCGTCTAACCACGGTCTTTGTCGCCACTACTCTTTGCCCTTTGGTGCCCGGACCGCCGCGGCACTCCGCCACCGTGCTGAGCCAGCCTCCGGAAATTGAATAAATTACCCGGAGGTCGATTGTGTGACCTAGGTCGTGTAAGACAGGTGGCGGGATAACTAAGTTTGTAGCTGGCATCTAACCGAACTGCCCGTAGCGCAATCTACGATAAAACTACGTGGGGTGGTGGCACACCTAAAAAGCGGAGTCCCTCGGCCTCGAGTCGGGCCCATACTCCGCCCGCCAAAACGTGGTGCAATACACGCAAAACATACGGCGCAATAACTTTATTTCACCCCTCACCTAAACATGCAACCATGAGCAGCTCCAGCTCCGATGGACACATGTCTGTTCCACATGTCTCGTCCACCGGTGCTGCCAGACGAGCAGTCGATAGATGCGAGACGAACAGGAGAAGTCCAGTCACCCGATCCAGCCAGACCGCCGGTCCTTCCACCCGCATCGACACCACCGTCTCAGTGGACTCACCATCGAGGTTGCCCATCCCAATACCAACATCTAGGATCCTGAACCCGGCCACAACCACGTCACCTGCAGCTCCCAGACAGCCAGTCCTATCAGACCTCGAGGTTCGGTTTTACTTCCCGGCACCACAAACCCTGAGGTATCCGGTAGAGGACTGTTCCGCTCAATTCCGGGCCGAAGCATAGACGGCGGCGAAACAGTCAGTGACCCGACACGTCAGAAGCATGCATGACATCAGCGTCGCTATCAACGTCCACTTCTCCAGCTGCGATTCAAAGCTGGGCGTAAGACCAGGCTCGCACAGGTGCACGGTGGTCATCGCAGATGACGCGGCGACGACGGCCCGATTTGCATGCCCCATCGATGGATGTGAAAAATCTTACACATCCATACAGGGCCTGGCGAATCACGCCAGGAACCATCAGCGGCAAGACGCCGTCAATGCGGCCACAGTTCCGATGCCTCGGCCGGCCACAAGGCAACAAAGACGCGTAAACCCAGAGCCCGCACCACGACGTGGCGGCGACGCACGCGTCCCCGTGCATCAAGTTGCCGATGCAGGCGATCGAAACAACAATGGGCAGCAAGAGCCAAGGAAACCGGGTCACGACGACCCGGACACACGCGGCTCTGATGCAGCGAGAGCACCAAGGACACCAGCTTCAACCAGCTCGGACACAGGCAGTCCTTCCCTGCAGCTGCCCACCAGTACAACGGCGGCAACAGTGACTCATCCGCACGTACGCCCACCTACTTCGATTCGAAGGTCACCACGTCCTAGTACTGTCACACCGCAGCCTACAATAGCTCTGCCAGCAGAACGAGGTGGTAGCCCCAAACTCAGCCACGACAACACCTCGGTCAGGACGGCGTCTACACAGGAAGGTCTGCCCCAGTCCTGCGATGTTGAGACGGGTGCCGGGAGTGTTGCAGAGTCCGACGACGGCGATGGCTGCGATGGCTATAGTCGCCCGGAACACGAGGAGGGGATCATTCTCACTCCGGATGACACTACGCCGATTCACGATTTCCTCGCACAGCTCCACGCCCTAGTCAGAGCACCGGCCACAGAGTATCCTCTGGCAACAGTTCGTGGTCACTATGGACGAGGTGACGTCCGTTGCCGTAGACACGGCCAAGATCCCAATTCGGCACGAGTGTGAGCCGATCAGACGGAAGGTCATCAACCCTGAAGACGCCCAGGGCATCCAAACCCTATATCGGAGGAATCGACGCGCTATATACGTGCCATCTTGTCCGGGAACACCAAGTCTTGTGAAGTGGGAATACAAGACACTCTCAACCACTTCACAAGGGTGTGGTCACCTTCAACCTGCGGTGTGTCGATCTTTCCTCGCACGGAGGAACGCACCCCCGTACCTACGGGACCTTTCTCTCGGGGTGAAGTGGCCAAACGTCTCCTTTTCATTATGGCTATCGACCCGGTTGTAGCGCTCCTGCAGGGCGAGTCAACCACTGGGTGCTTGCGTTCGCGGACGACTTGTGCCTCATAGCCGACAGTCCGGGATTGCTCCAAGCGTCCATCGACGCGGCCCACAGTGGCATGGACATACTTGGGCTCCGGCCCAATGCGACCAAGTGCTCGTCGCTGCACCTGTCTGGTCAACGGCCGGTGGGTGTCCGGGACACGCAGTTCCTGCTGCGAGGTTCCCCCCTACGTCCGCTTGCCGAGGGCGAAGCGGCCACCTTCCTCGGAGCCCAGGTCGGGTTCAACGTCGTCCCACCTTTGTCCACCCTAGCCGAGATTATTGCCATCGGTCTGCGCATTGCCAGGAGCAAACTCGCGCCCTGGCAGCGGATCAATGCCCTAAAGACCTTTTTTTACCCCTTAACGGATTATGCTAGGGTGGACAAGATCCTGCGGCCGGAAATTAAGGCGACACTGTACCTGCCGCAGGAGGCGTCGGGGGAGTACCTGTACGGGTCCATCAAGCGGGGTTGCTGCGGAATCCGTCTCCTCGCTGAGGACTCCGACATTGCCTCTGTGGATAGTGGGTTCAAGCTGATCACTTCCTTGGACGTGAGGGTGGCCGGAGATGCTGCAGAGCACGTGCAGGAGGTCACCAGGCGGAGAATCAGCAAGGACCTCTCCATCCACGAGGTCGGCTCCTACCTGTCAGGTGAAGAAGAGGGCGTGTTCCAGGAGGTCCGGGGCACGGGGGTCGCTAGTGTGTGGTCAAGGGCTTGAGACCGGATATTGTTCTGAAGAAGGGCCCAAACATCTTCGTCGTGGATGTCACCGTGCCTTTCGACAACCGGCTGGCCGCTTTCGAGGCAGCGGCGGCTGAGAAGAAGGGCAAGTATGAGGAACTTCAGGCCGAGTTGGCGGCGCTGCATGGGTGCGAGGCAACGGTCGTTCCCTTCATAATTGGCGCCCTCGGCTCATGGGATCCCGCCAACGATCCATTCATGAGGACGCTTTGCAGCCGCTCGTATGCTGCCCTGATGCTGAAGCTGTGTGTAAGCGACACCATTTCAGCTTCCCGAGATATTTATATCGAACACATATCCGGGGTGCGACAGGTGAGGGCCTAGGCCCACCTGTTTTGTTTTTTTATACTTTCCTTTTTTAACATTTACTTTAAAAATACCTTATATATATATTATGTTTCCCACCCCCCTGTCTCGATTTCTTTTTTTTTTTGTAGGTTCCCCATTATTGTGATTTTTTTAAGCATTTATAATCTAATATACAGATTGTTTAGTCAGGATAGCCGATTCAACATGAACACGGTTGTATCTCAACTATTAAGCTGGTAAAAACCTGATTGATTCTTAATAATATAAATATTTAAAAAAGTAATAAGAAACGATCAAATATCCTGAATAGTGGACTGTATAAATTTATTGTACATATAGAATTAATTCGTCAGCATACACGAGAATAACTTAATGCTATGTTAGTCCTATACAAATTACAAATAATTAAAATAAAAATCATGAAATTTATAATACAAACAACAGACTGCGTACGAGCATTGATAACAACAGAATAATAACAAAAAATGGGTATGATACGTCTGACCTGGCTGAAGTTCACTGGAGCACTTGTTTCCGTCCGGGCAGGTGTATTTGCACTATGCGACGTACCGACGATGACCAATTAATACGACGTATCCAAACACACGTGGGTACTAGGTGTACACGGTGGTTTCGAATTTGAATGAACCGAACCGGTAAAACACGAATTTAGCTGAGCCACGATGGATTCTCAACGACACGCATCTTTCCACGCCTGTGACATGACAACAAGGCGGCGGAAGGTGACGAACACAAATAAACGTGCGTGTTCGCAACGGGCGCAAATGGCGGCGACACAACAACACACGACGACGTTATCTACGCGTACGTTAAGAAATAAGAACCAGCAGTCCTCGTAGGTCGGCGACGCGCAACGAGACAACAATATTAAAAATGACAAAATACGGATTACTGGTCTCACGCTCGGTGGCGACGGCACAACAAAAGGCACGGCTACACATTGATTTATAGCAAATCGTCAGAAAACGGCACACACGGCTTTTACAAATACATTGTATATTAGAATATTGACGAGACGGGTCGGTAACGGCTGCGACAAGTATCGACAACAACACACGACTACTGCGACAGAGAGCGATCGGGACAGAGGTCTACCGGTGACAGCGGCGCATGCGTGACCGGAATCGAAACGTTCTTTTGACTGAATTATCTGGCGCGCTCTAGTGCTCGGGTCTGAACACAGACATTATATCTCAGAAACCGACGCAGCGCGGTGCGAGCTATACTTTCTGGCGCGAGCGTCTCGTGCGGTGTAGGAATTCACGATGCCACGGACCATTTCACTGGAGTCTGGTCTCCCTCCACCTGTGACGCCTCGGTCTTCCCCCGCACGGAAGAACGCACTCCCGTCCCGACAGGGCCTTTCTCCGCCTGCGTTGTCGCGAAGCGCCTGAAAAGTTCGAGAATACAGCCCCAGGCGACGACGGCCTCACCTACGAACATTGGAGACGCCTTGACCCGTCGTTCAGCCTACTGTCCGAAGTTATTAATATATGTATCAAACATCGCCGTGTCCCCCGGCTTGGAAGAAAGCGGTGTCCCTTCTACTTTCCGTATTTTACACTTGTCCAAGCTGTTAGAGATGGATTTTTTTACGACGGAATACTTACAGGTAGAAGATATCTAGATTTTCTTGTTAATCGATTACCGTTACTGCTAGAAAATGTTTCATTAGCCACTCGGGAAAATATGTATTTTCAACAAGACGGTGCACCAGCACACAACGCCATTATTGTTAAAAATTATTTAAATGAAATTTTTCCTAACCGATGGATTGGTACCCATGGAGTAATTCTATGGCCAGCAATCCTTATGTTCAAAAAACCGAGAACTATTTTGTAACTCTTTAATTGCTGTTAAAAATAAAGGAGGTGATAAAGGAGGACTACATTATCCCAGCGACGATGAAATTTTGACTGAAAAATTATTAAAATCATTCAACTATAAAAATCAACCTGTGAACTCATTATATCTCTAAACTAAAGTTCTCAATCATTTTTACAACTCTAATATATTCATTTCATTAAAATCACACAGTCTAGAAAGCAGTAGTCCATTAGCTGATCATTTAACTCTACTAATAAAATCAATTGCATCCATCTATATCAAGCTTAAAGTAAACTATAGTTCAAAGTCAACAAATGAAACCCAATCTTTAAGAATGTGGTATAATAAATTGAAACTATTTAAAACACAGTGAAATTTTCTATTTATTTTTTTTCTTTTGTAATATTTAATTAATATTGTAATATAAATATAATATATAATGTCTTATAATATTATAATAGTACCTAATAAATTATGTTAAATTTCAATTAATGCCAGTTTTGGTAAAAAAATATAGGTATACTTTAAAGTTTTAGGAATAGCAATTCCTAAAACTTTAAAGTATACCTATATTTTTTTAACTCAATATTTTAAAACATTACATAAATGTTTAACTGCCATAATTTTAAAACCTATTTTTAAACTACGATTTACGGCGACATTATTATGGCTCAATAAATAAATATAATTGGATAGGTTGGCTGTTTACATCTGTACAATATTATAGTCCATAAAACTGGTAATGCCGTAAATTGTGTCTATGTTTTTGGCTTCACTTTTTGGAAAAACAGCACATCTATACATCTAGATGTATATACTACACTGGAGCGCGCACGGGATGGGGACAGTTGGGTCCCCGAGATAAGAGTTAGGACCCTTGATAAGAAATCATAGCTGATAATCTTAATCAAGAGTTCGAATTCTAACCTCAAATAAAAAAATTGCAAATTAATACCTACCGTCAGGCATTGTAAATAGTTCCAGTACGATTTTTGAGTTTATGAATTTCCCACCATTGTCCAAGACGGAGATACATTATTTATCCGTCTGTAGAATTTTTTGAATGACCGTTATTTAACGGTAAACAGTTGCTAATTTTACGTTTGCCGCTGCTGGTTGTACGTAGGTGCTTGCCGCTTGGTTCTAATTCTAATTTATAACCGAAAGTAAAATTTATATTTTTTAATTTTTACCTTAATAATAGTTCTTCGATAAATTATTCATAATGTACCTATTTGAATGTTCATATTTATTCATTGCAGGTTCATACCTAATTAATAATTATTCAATTAGTAAGTACTATATTTGAGTTTTTACCCATTGGCGCAACTATAGACGTACGTAAATTGAAGACCTCCCATGTATATCGGTGTATGTTACAATATTTTCAAAAACCGTTTTATTACATTAATTGATAAAACTCAGTGTTGCCAACACATTGTGCTACATTATGTATGAATAGACGTACATTAAGAACTCCGAAAATTGATTGCAAGTAAGAGTTTATGGATGTGAAGTTGTTGACGTTTGTTGAAATCGGTGTATGTTACTAAATTTATACGGTGTTGTTATACTAAATTTTCAAAACTATTCAAATATGAAGAAAACAAAAACAGTAACACAATGCACACCCGAGTCAACAGTTGTTTGTAAATGCTCGTATGAATGTAAAAAAATTACTGTGAATCGTATCGTTATGAGTCGTAAAAAGTTTGCGTCTATGCAAAAACCATGTACTAAACATGCACATACACCGACTTCAATGGTCTATAAT